TTTTCCTCCAACAACTGCTGTAATCTCTCTTGTTTATTTTGCTGTTCGAGCTGCCACTATTGCAGGTTTTCTTGCCACTGCTGTAATTTCTCCTTGTTTCTTTTCTCGTTCTTCTTGTTTCTTTTCTCGCTCTTCTTGTTTCTTTTCTCGTTCTTGTTTCTTTTGCTGTTTTTGTATTGCTGCCATCAAATCTGCTAAGCTGTAGTTTGATTTGCCGCTTCTCGTCTCCATCTCTTTTTTATCCCACTTCTGACACCAATTTGTTATGTCTCTGGTCGTTAGTTAATTTTCCATATAATTTCTTTCCGGAGAAACTTTACCGTTACAAGTCGTTTCTTAAATAAAACTGGTTTATTCTTTCTGAATAAAACTTTGCAATACACTTAATTTCCACAGTCGCGCTATAACAAACACTAATATTCACAACGAACGTCTCACGTGCTCGACTCAACAATATTCTCTCTCTGTCAGCAGTTCAATTACACAGCATTACATTGTTACCGTCACATCTTGACCGTCTTATATATAAAATAATACCGAAATCTAGTAACCTTCCGAGGATTCACGAAGCTTCGAGAATATGACGTGTAACTAGCGGCACGTGACCTCCGCTGTCGTAATAGTATCTTAAATGAGATCTTTGTTTGTAGAGGATTTGGCAAGCGGTCAGATTTTATCTGCATTTATGTTGAATAAGGAAATCTCTATACATTTCAAAACAAATGTTTGATGTTTATCACAGAAATACACACGCGCCAAACAACGTTATACCAAGACTTGGGTCGTAAAACAACAGTTCTAAAGGACACTGTAGATCAGTAACAATAATTGTAAATGCACCCATCTAAGTGTGAATCTATTACAATAGTTGTAAATGTCACCCATATAAGTGAGAATCTATTACAATAGTTGTAAATGTCGTTCATGTCAAAGTCCATAGCTAAAATACGAATTGTTGATACAATTATAACTAAGATACGAATCGTTGTTGAATGAATACATCACCATCTTTGTTAGGCACTGATCTTTCTCTGTTCACCCGTCACCTAAACTCACTTGTAGCTGAATCAACTGTTGTTCGAACTATAAGCTTCTTTACCAGGTGACCCGGAAGTTAGTCTGATCACAAGAAAAAGTCATTTCTTTCACGCGCAATCTTATATATTGTTACGTCAGCGGGAGCATGCGCGCTGGAGTTTCTAGAAGGATCATGACTTATCGATGAACTCCGCGAATATCCGAGTGTTTGCCAGGCGCCCTCTTTTTTAGTATATAAGCCCGGCAAATAAAGCCAGCGATAGATAGATATGCAGATAGATTGAAGAAATAGATAATTGAGTAAAGCGAACAGTTGTTACCGTAAGTAAAGTGTGTGAATCACTGTGAATTATAGTGTTATAAAGGTTGTTAAGTTTAAAGTGACTGTGTATTACAAAGTTGTATTGAGAAAGAATAAACTAGTTTTAATTAAGAAAGGACTTGTGTTGCTGAAGTTACCCGGAAAGAAGTTATACCGGAAATTAGGAAACTGTCAAACGAGCAGATACGTAACAATATTATCACCCATCACCAAGCGTTAGCTGTGCCTGATGCACTTCGCAATAAAAATAAAAGGACAGAAACAAGCTCTCATGACGGAATAAAAGCAGAGCTGGTGGTTCGGGGGCGCTCGACTCGTAATATGCGTGTCACGGGTTCGAATCTCCGAATATGCTCGGCTCTCAGCCGTAAGGGCGTTATAATGTCACGATTAACCCCACTGTTTAGTGGTAAAAGAGTAGCCTAAGAATTGGCGTGGATGGTGTTAACTAGCTGCCTTTTCTATAGGCTATCACTGTTCAATTGGGATATAGAGCGCAGATAACCCTCGAGTAGCTTTGCGTGAAATTCAATAAAGAAATTACTAGAAGCTT